ACATCCACCATCGCCTCTTTCCCGGCGAACTTAACGTTTAGTGGGACTCTTCCTTGAAACTTAATACGATTATTATCAAATGCCGTCGCAGCCACCGCAGCCTTATTCAACTGTGGCCGGCCTAGCTTATTCCATGTCTTCTCATCGATAATGGAAAGGGATGCACCGGTATCTAGTTCGAATGGGATCTTCTTCCCATTCACTTCCATCTCCAGCATTCTCGGTGGCTCATCCGACAACCGGTCTACTTCAACATCTCCGACCATATCAGCGGCTATCACCCTCTATACGGGCACTCCACATTTCTAGTGCCTGTCTTCCTTCGTGCGGTGAGACTGCCATCTTCAGTTTCCAGGCTATCCTCCTCTCGCCTCGCACTGCTCCGCATCAATTTCCGCGGCTCAGCTCTACGACAGTGGGTAAGTCGTGACACAACTACCTTGTTCACGCTCTGAATCACTAGTTCCTCTCCACTGTCGGAGCTTCCAGCGGGCTCCTCACACCAGTGTATTTGGCGGGAGACTTTCTGGCCAACTCTGGCGTTCTTCCAGCACGTCACTGCCAGGTGGCCTCTCTTCTTGCATACATTGCAGTATGCCTTCTCTTCCTGAAACACTCGTAACCGGCATGGCCAAGCGCTCCGCAAACCCTGCATCTCATACTTTTCCGAGCTGGGCCCTTGCTCGGCCTTCCCTTTTGTTCCCTCGTTTGCGCGCGCCATGGCACCTGCCGATTACGCTCATCTTTCCGGGTTCTTACCTGAGCCACTCCCACCAGCTGGGCTTGCGGCGGGCCTTCCTTCAGGTGTGGAGCGTTCACTCCTACACGCTCGAAGGCTTCCGCCTGCTCCAGAGCCTCTCTTGAGGATAGCTGTTCCTTCTCTAGAAGGCGCTTCCTCGTCTCTACAGAAAGCAACCCACCGATGAAAGACCATCGTCACTACTGCATCCCGATGATCTTTGATTTCTTCAAAGCAGCATGTATTCGCTGCTTTCTGCAGCTCCGCGTAGTACTCATGCAGCGCTTGTCCTTGCTTCTGAGTCTTCGACATCAGCCCGAAGCGTTCTGCCAATACCAGCTTTTTCGGCTGGTAATGCTGCTCCATTGCTGCCCGAAGATCCTTCAGCGCCACTTCTTCCAATTCGCGTCCCTGCAGGAGTGATTCCAGTAACTCGTAATTCGAGTTACCCACCTCCTGCAGGAATATCAGCCGCTGGTCCCTCTTCTTCCGTCACCTTCCTCAACACGAGGAAGTTTGCGAACAGCTTCCACCAGGTTCGCCACGATGTGCCCGGGACATACGGTCCCGGGCACGACCCCGGTACACTTCGGCACCGGAGTCAGCCATCGCGGCTCTGCCTGCTTCTTCTTTCTTGCAAACTCCTTGAACTTCTTCTTTCTTGCAAACTCCTTGAACAGCCTCCACTGTCGGTGTCGTCATCGTCCACTGTTCGGCTGATCGCCAGTTAGAGTGCTTGTCCACACGGAAGAGGGGTAGAATGATTTATTCGAACTCCATGACTCTTTTATACATTCTCTCCCTCTATCACTCTATCACTTCTTCCATCACATTCTCATTCTCTTCATTCTTCCCTTTCGCACGTACGCCACCCCTCTACACGGGCTTTGGAATTCATCATTGAGTCTTTCAAGGTCTGTCTTAGTTTTAGCTCTATAAAATCTATATTGCCGCTTCAAACATATTAGGTTGTCTCGAAAGTTCGTGCGTATTTTTTGGATCTCATGCCACAAGCTCCTTCAACAAATTCAAAATGTGTTCACGTAGGCTGTGGATAGGGCACACTGTGCAGTAGCTTATACCCGAATCCTGCCCACCATCGTCGCCTTCTTCGAGTTCAAAGTGGAAAGAGAAAAGAGCTATGTTTTTCGCGCTCTGACTTAAGCAGCTCTACTGAGCCACAAACCGATTGAAGCCTGAAGCGGCATCTGCATCGCGATACATCTCCTCGCCCTCACCAACAGTGAGGTATCAGAATAGCTGGATCTTCTCTGCCCAGGAGACTACAGCCGGTAGAAAAATCCACGTTCAGAGAGGCCATCAGTGTCGGATTTGGAGAATCTGTGCTCTCTCGTGGGAGTCACTCCACACGGGGCTACCTGCTTTGTGGCAACCACATCCTGGTGTTCCAGATGCACAATGCGTAGAGGTTCTCGCTCCTTCGTAGAATGGTTGAAGCCTCACCAAAGATTCCCTCATGAGTTGATCACTGATGACAGGAGTGCGGCACGAGTCCCGTCTACAATTTGTGTCCAGCTCCATCCGTACGCCCTGGTTGAACAAAGCTACTACTGCAGTTGAGAAGCTCAGGTTCCATGACAACCACACCTAGAATCTCCAGGGACTAGATCGGACAGAAGAGGGTGAAAAGTGAAGAAATTCACCACAAGGTCGTGCTCCACCTCTTTTGGAGCGTTATCGAGTAAGCCACTAGAGACATGTCAATCATTATAGATATGAATTCACTCAAGTGTAGGGAGATCAACGGCAGAGACTCACGGTGAAACCCCAACAAATGTCGTTAAAACTCGAAAAAGTGTGTACGCTCCACAACACCCGAGGCCACACATTTCGATAATGAAGCGATTCTGAATATCGAAGCCCAGCTGAAAAGGCCTACCACATTCATCGTGCAGCGGTAGTCATTCTCTTTCGAAAGACATCTGCCCTTTCTGCTCAGCCGCCTTCTTGACGACAAAAAATACGATTCCCATTAGCACCTCAAAATCGACCTCACTGCCTTTTTCAGCTCATAACTGCCAGCCCTTTGAGAGTTAAGTTGCCAATCTTTGGTTGGATGTTGGTAACAAGTCACTGATAGTGGTGGTACATATAATGATGATAGGTTGCACACGTGCTTGGAATAGTGCAGGCTCAAAAATAAGTTCAAAATACGCACGAACTTCTGAGACAACCTAATATTTATACCATCAAAAGGCTTTCGCACAAGTAACTACTGACCTTTTTGTAAGCTTATTTGAGCGGTAAACTAAACCTGATCTCGGATTGCCAATGAATTCATCTCTTTCAGCTTCGTTCTCCGAATATGTATTTACCAACATAAGTAGAGGTTTTGTTTTAGACAGCGAAGTACCACTAACTAATGATGCTTGTACACAAACATTTGCTGACGAGGATGTGCAGCAAAAAACTGAATCGCCACCAAAATCACTCGATGAGATTTCTCGTGATTGGAACGAAGGTGCGATTTTCAGCAGTTTAGAACTTTCTGTAACTGTAACTCTGTAACTTTTTCCACTTGTGATATTTTGCAAGCGCTTTCCATTGATCTTTTCAGGAAGGACTCTTTCTGCATCCGATGCTCTCCGACTTGTCAAACGGGGTATTGTAAAATGCCGCGAACTGGAGACGCGCCTCGATGCTGAAACTGCAATATTTGTGAGGCGTTCCTACGTAGCTCCTGAAGTCTTGAAGGAGTTACCATTCAAGAACTACGATTACAAATATGTAAGCTCTCAACGCACTGCCTTCGGTTGCTACCATAAAGAAGGCTCTGTTGTTTAGGTGACCAACTCTTGCTGTGAAAATGTTATTGGTTACGTCCCTATACCTCTGGGCGTTGCTGGTCCTATACCAATAAATGGTGCTGAAGTTTACGTCCCTATGGCCACCACAGAAGGTGCATTGGTCGCCAGTACAAATAGAGGTTGTAGTGCCGTAAAGGTATGAATTCCTCTACTTTGTTTATTTTTTAGATGTCGGGTGCTGGTGCTTTCAGTGAGTTTATTGAGTGAATCTTGTTGTCGGCGATCAGGTTTTCTTGAGTTTATAAAGAAGCAAGAGGAAGTCCGAATCAACATTATAAGCTAAGGTCATCTAGTTTAGAAAAGTGGCGGTGTTTCTACCTGCATTTTCGACGAAGGAATGACACGTGCTCCTGTTGTCAAGTTTCCTACCGCTTCAGAGGCTGTGTGAGTAACGGCTTAAAGGTTTTTTCTATGGTCTAAACAGATACCACGAAATTTAATTATTTTAAGAAAGTTGAAAAAATGGCTTGGAGTTCCTGAGAACTTTCTTCTTGTCAAGACTGAGTTCGAGTCCACAAGTCGGTAAGTTTTTTTTTGTAAAATTGCAAGCTTGGATTTTGCTGGGCGTTGGAGTGGGAGTTGCTGCTATCCACTGGTGTGTGCGCCTGCTTTGCAAAAAGTTCTTTTCTTTTTCGGGCAGCGAAAACAAAGTGGTAGCGGCGAACAATTCCATCCACATGCTCAGTGTAGCTAATGCCTTCGGTAATTGGTGCCAAATGCCTTTGTATAGGTTTGCACAACTACGTGCGGTAGAGGTAGCCATAGACGGGAATCTAGCGTTCGTCCGATTCATCGCTTTCACGGGAGATGCAATGGGTATGAACATGGTGTCAAAGTGAGTAATTTATACCCACATGGTATGCTTTGTCAACAAATCGAGTTGTCTTCAGAGGTTGCAACCTTGCTATGCATTTGCTAAAGGAGAAAGTTTCCATCAATGCAACTGCTGGCTCTAAGTGGGAATTACTGCGTGGATAAAAAAGCGGCTGCAATTAATTGGTGAGTTTTTGTAGTTTGATGATGCCTCACTGATTTTATCGGAGACTTCGAGTGAAATCGATTTTTTGAGTTCAAAGTACAGCGCACAGACAGCCAGGTCGGTAATCCTGGGTACCACTAGTTTCTCCCAGTACTGCGCGATCATCGAGCAGCTTTCTGTAAATGTGTTAAACAGCAAGTTACCGAGTAAAAGAAAGTTAAGTTTAATTTTCCGAAAATGAGGAAGTGTGAAAACTAAATCGCAATCGCTGTACCATACTTTCTACTAGTCTTTTTTATTACTTTATGGAATGTTATTTGCCCGGTCGGCAACCTTCCCATAGTGACAGATCATTCGGCAAACAAGAAATTCCTACTTTCAAACACCAGAGTGTAGGCAATTCTTCCTAGTGGGCATCATACCCGGATCTCCTGTTCGTGCAGTTCGTGCTAATCCTCATTTAAGGTTGAATCGAAAGCAGAGATCCTGTACAATCCGGCAATCTTCGTGTAACTTTCGAACGCGAACTGCGCGGAAACAGCATGTTAGCTATAATACAAGTAACAAATGTAACATCCTTTATCTCTCTCATTAAGATCCCCAGGTCGAGGCGATCGGCGGATTGCACGTTGCCTGCCAGTGTTGTTCTGTCAATCTTCAAGACAACTCCGAAGCAAATGGCTGAAGCTGCACAGGTTACAACTTCCGTCCACCACTTCTACTATGGAATAAGTTCGTACACACTATTAATTTCTGATTATATTATTGTCATCCAAGCTGCAGTCGGTTCCGACAGAGCTAATGTCATCGGCGAACCGCTCATCGCCGCCAAAATGTAGTGTCGGCGGTATTTTTGGGACGGCAATAGTATTTTCAATAAATTGACTATAAACTTTGCAGTGAAACTTTAAATCTATCTATATATTGCTCCTCAACTAAATAGACGAGCGCGTATGCTAAAGTACCTCTTCGCTCTGGCTGTAACTATTATTTGAAAGCGTCCACTGCGCTATGCTCACTCGGCATCATTTCCCATCCTGTTAAATAAACCTGGTTTTGCAGGACCCTGCTCAGGTCGTTCGTCATCGATTTGCTCGACAACGTATGGAACGTCCCACCTACATGGGAATGTATGTTATGTAATGCCCATATGTTGAAGTTGCACAGTAGGCGTGGAACGACTGCGACCGCAGAATATCTAGTTAAGTGCACCATAGTATTTAAAGCTGTGTGTTTTTATAGACACTCTGAGTCTTTTCAGATGTTGTCTTGTGCTGGCCCTTCACCTGTGGAGGCAGGTGCGCATGCTCGTCGCCTAGCGGAGGTCATATGTTCCACGGTGCTTGCCGGTGAACTATCGTTGATGGCTGCATTAGTCACGGACCAGCTGGTGTCGAGTCATATGAAGCTTAACAGTAAGTAACTACTTATTGATCTTTTGTTGTTTGTCATAATAGTTGGAAATGAAGGAACACTATTTTTCTCTCTTCATGTACAATTGAGTACGTTCCTTTTACTTTAAAATTTCCCTATTCTAGGTCACGCCTGCATTTATACCCTTCAATGCCTGTAATGGCGATGCCAACTGCTGAGAAGTCACCTCGAGAAATCCCGCTCCCACGAAAACCAGTCGAGAAAGGGACTCGTGTTAAAAGAACCGTCAAAGTTGAATGCTCTAACATTCTTTAGTCTGCTTAACTCCTCGCATTCTGTCTCTGCCTTATAGGATCTTTTCAATCGTTTTTTATTTATGTTCAAGTTTTTATGTGTTTTTATTCTAACAGGAAACAGGATGTCTGAAACCGCGTGATTTTTCTTGAGTTGCCCATAACTGATTATATGCAGTCTGTTTTATTTCTTTATTGTTTGTATTAGAGTTATTATAATATTTCTAAGCTAAAACCAAATTCTAGGATTCTGTGATTGATAATATAGGCTCGCAAAGGATAGCTCCCCTTTTTAAGCTGTAAAGCACATTGTTGCTATTAGGTTCCCTAGCAGTCCGTGATGAGGAGATAGGTCACTGTTCCAGAAGAATGGTTGTCAAATGCATTGTTGCTCATTAAATGAATACCTCATCATACACTGATCTTGAAAACCTAAGTGTTCAGTTTTCTTAAATGACTACATTCGTATCGGACCAGTCACAATTTTCATTTTCTTCTAGTAATCTAGCCGAAACAGAAATTTATTCAGCCGGCAAGGTGTACAGAGCCGGTTAGCTTACGAGGACATATCGGTCATGGCAAATAAATCGGATTCGCAACCAAAAAAATCGACAGGTGAAAAGATTGCAAAATTGCAAGTCCGTGAACTGCGACCACGGCCTAAACGGTGTTTCGCGTTTAGACTGCTCATAGCTCAACTGTACATCTAGGAAATTCGCCAAGACCACTCCTTCAGAACAAATCCCTTTCTCGTCGGCGATCCTGTATTCG